GACAATGCTTCAAGTTCGCATTCAAACACCGAATCAATTGAAAATGTAAGAAGCTTTAACTGTTAGCACGATTGATTCTTATATTCAGATATAATTGATTTTTATACATTTTATTATATAATTTAGGGTTTGGCTGAAAACATATTGGAAAATTCGCATAATTTAAATGAAAATTCAATCAGAAAAGTAAGAAGTATAAATTATTAACATATATTAAGGTTAACTATATATATATAAATTAATTATCACAATTTTTATACTTTTATATAGGATCTAATGGCAAACACCTTGGACACATTCGATAATCCAAATATCACATTGGAAAATTTGTATAATTCAAATGAAAATTCAATCAAAAAGTAAGAAGCATAAACTATTAACAGTATTAAGGTTAACTATATATATATATAAATTAATTATCAATTTTTATATTTTTATATAGGATCCATTCGATAATCCAAATAACATATTGGAAAATTTGCATAATTCAAATGAAAATTCAATCAGAAAAGTAAGAAGCATAAACTATTAGCACGTATTAAGGTTAACTATATATATATAAATTAATTATCACAATTTTTATACTTTTATATAGGATTCAACGGCAAACACCTTGGACACAATAATCCAAATAACATTTCAAATGCTGCAAATCCTATAATCATAATAGAATATGATTCGACATTGCATAATCCAAAAGAAAAAGTCATCGAATCTATTGAATTAGAGTCAGATAGTAAGTTTATTGTATATTGATATTGATCAATTTTATTAAAAATTTTAATTATATTAAATAATCTTATAGATATGGATGATAAGAAGTCGAGTAAGGCCCGGCGTTTAAAGTATTTTTATTTGAAAACTACTTTACAAGAGTTAAATATTGAAAATATGGAAAATCAACTTTTTTCAAATAACTCGGTTGAAAGTTTTCTTATGGAAGATTTCGACCATCTATTTCTCAACGATGAGGAAGTTACCGTTAATCAGCAAATAGCATTACCAAGTTTTTCAAATAAAGATGCCAATTCAATTTATAACTATTTTAAAAATTAGTATTCTTTATTTGAAAAACTTGGATTAGCAAAACATACTATCAAGGAAGCAAGGTTGCACATGTTGGTTAAATTACATAGACCTTACATGTCACTTGCCGTAATTTACGCGACAGAATACCAAGAAGAAAATGACAAATTTCCAAGCCATAAAGTTCTACGTGGGAAATTAAGTACAAAAATACAAGAACTTTTTGGAATTAGTAAACGATATGAAAGAAGATATTGGGCAGGGACATTGTGGTTAATTGAATTGCTTCATATAACCACCTGCCCTGCTGCAATTCTCATTAAAGCAGAACTCAGTGCCAACTACTTTACAGTGACGGCTAATAGTGATTATGATAAATTTCTGCAAAAACTTTTGGACAATAAAAAAGTTTGTCATAAATTCCCTAAATTAGACGCAAATATATTAGATCTAGGTATAATTTAGGTATAATTATTTGTGTAAAAATGTAAATTTGATTAGCTTGTCACGTATCATATATTAATAAATCTTTAATTTGCTATTGTAATTTTTATATTTGAGATGTTTTTAAACAATTATCTGATTAATAAAAGTATTCTTTAATTAGTTATTAGTGAAATTAAAAAACTATCGGCATCAGATATTTTATATTGCTTGATTTTTTTACTTATATATGAAACTTATAAAAATGAAATTAAAAGTACTTACAATAGTATATATCTATAAACTTGAACTATTTATCTTGAAATAATTTGGATCTAATTGTTTTTAATAGTATATATCTATAAACTTGAACATTTATCTTGAAATAATTTGGATCTAATTGTTTTTTATAAAATATAATTGCAAAGTAAAATATAAAAATTTAATGTAAATGTAAAAAAAAAAAGAAATTGCTTTGAAGAAGTAATTGTTATTTTAGTAGCTATACTTGTAATAATCTAACTGAACTTTTTATATAATAAAACACAATTGATTAAACCTTCGATCAATGATCAACATCATTGTTACCTCAAAAGTTAATGTTAATTACATAGTATATATTATAAATTTAAACTTAATATTATTCACACCATTAAAAGATATTACGTAGCATAATAATTTTTCTTATTGACACTTAATATTATGTCATATGAACATTGATGTCCTCGAGATTATATGATAATAATCAGTTAAAAGTTAGTTAATATTTATTATATTATAAATTTAAACT